AAACATCTCGAAAGGAGAAAACTTGCCTTATGAGTTTAAAAGCACCGTCTTCCTGGAGGAGGGGGGGTCCTGTGTTTGCGCCCAGGACCAATTTATTGCAGATGAACATATGGCCAATATTTTGTCTCACGTCACACCAAGGGGGAAAACAAACATCGCACAATGTTAGCGAGTCAGCAAGAGCACAGCCACTTGGCCAGCTATGCAAACGCTCTTGGACAATATGAGAAGAGGAGCACTTGCTTTCTGGGTATATAAACCACATCAGGCTTATCACTGCACGCACTCTTGTCTCCCATTTGGAGATATTTCATTAACTCTGCTGCTGTCCTAACGCTGCCAACACATACAGACACCTTCCAGTTTAGGTAAGGACACCTGTGCTCCAGGCAACTTTGCGCACTCTCATTTGTATTTTTATATATTAACAGAAACTTTTTGTCTTCCAATGTGAACTTTTGTGTTTTCTCTTATGTTTTGACATAAATACACTTTGGAAAGATTGGCTTTGGTCAAAATGATTATTTATTTCGTCTTTGTTTGTGTGTGCTAGGCCTGTTGTTTTGGATTTTTTGCACACAGTAGCTGGTGATCATTACGCATTCAGCTGAGCGGTCCATGCTTGGTTATTGAGCTCTAACAAACAAAAAGAAAAAAAGGTAAAACTTTTCTGCAAAAAAAAACAACAACAAAAAACTGAAAAGTAGACATCTCTGTACTTAGTAAACTCAAAGCGTAACTGTGGCCTAAAAGTTATTCATTTAAGTTTTTTTTTTGTCTAATTAATCAAACCCACCTTAGAAATAGTTTGTTACTAGCGCAAAGAGTCATGGTAGGATATGTTGTTCAACGGGGGAACTAAAATCGATGTTTGAATGCACCATGTAGAATCACATAAAGTTCTTTAAAGCACATTTTCTTTTCTTTCCTTTCTTTTTATTGGTCTTTTTACTTCTTTTTTTCCTCCTTCCTTGATTTGTTTAAAATCCAAATAATTCCTCTTACTTGTAATGATTATTGGATTTCTGACTGACTTTTGATTTTTTTCATAGACTAGAAACCCATGGCAGATTATAGACGAGGTTGGATATTTTGGAATTAAAGCAAAAAAAAAAGAAAAGAAAAAGAAAAAAGATTTCTTCATCACCACATTAACAAAAGCAGACCAGTTATATTTTTATTTTCTTTGTCTTTATCAGATAAAGGCAAAGCACAAAAAGCATTCTTTCCTCCTTCTAAAAAGTTTGTAAAATGCTGAAATGCAGATTAATCCATTATAACCATGCTGTGTTTTTCGGACTACAATTGTTATCGAAATGAAATCGGATAGTTTATTAGGAAAAAAAACGTAGAAAAGTTATGACTTCGCACAGTTTAATGATAATAAATCATTACCTCATGGCTTATTAGTCTGTATAACCAACATTTTGTTTAATATAAGTAGTTTAATCTGAAGATCACCCCCTGTTGTTTCTTAATTTTACCGGTAGAGACCGCTAGAGCTCTACAGATGTGAACAACTGTTAATGTTATTACCGCTCTCACAAACAAGACACCTCACAAGGAGGATAAGTTATCTGCAGCTTCTTGTGTCATTCAGAAGCCCTCATATCAAACCCTCCAAAGGAAATATTTCTTTATTTTTAATGCCCTTTTTCCGTTTTTTAAATCTATTTATTTATTTTTAATTTTTTCATTATAAGCGTCCTCTTTTGATTAAAAAGTCAGCGTTTCCCTCACCTCCGCCCAGTGACAGTGCGACAGAGAAAAGGGGGGAAGGGATTAAAAAATAATGTCTTTTTTTTTAAGCGACTTCTTTTTTTTGACACACAGTGGAAAGATTAGGGCGATTTGCCCAGCATGGCATGAAATTCAGCGTTACAAATAAACTGGTGGTTTAACAAATGAAGGCATCTCCTCGGGTCATGGGCGCGACTCTATAATCTTGCACTGACATGTTTAATCATTATAGAAAGGAAGAAGAATAAAGGCTTTTTTTTTCCTTGAAGGAAAAGAAGGTTGGCTTTCTGGGGTATAAAAATGTAAAAAAAAAAAATAAAATCTTCCCCTGAAGCCAAGTGTCCCCGGCCATCTTGGCAGCAATAAATAAGGCAGCAGCAGCTTTACCTTTTTTTTTAATATATTGGCTTTTAATCATAGGAGGCTTGTCACTCTATACATTTATCACAGCTGCCCTGAGGCAAGCGGGGTTACCTTTATCAAAGACCAACTCCATCCCTCAGGCGTCCCAACATGCTGAAAATCAGCGATTAAAAGGAAGCACTGATCAACCCTATTATGGATCATCCTGCGGCATTTTTATTTGCGCTTTCAATCGAAAGATTTATTCAATCAGTAATATAAAACCCCCTTTCTTTACTTATTGTGGGAACAATCGTGGGCATGAATTTTTAGGAGGGAATTAAAATTAATCAGACCGGATTCATTTTTGTGTTTCTTGAAAGGGAGGTTGATCCGAAAAAAAATAATTGTTTTTGAATGAGAATGGTATTAAAAAAAACCTTTAATGTGCCTGAACAATGATCTAGTCTGTGGCTATTATTAAAAAGGGAGGACTGGTTGTAGCATATTTACAGCGGGAAGGATCACATAAAAAATGATTAGTACTATGCATGTTTTCTGAGCAGCCTGCTGCACAAAAACAAATTCATTAGAGAAATATTATCCTATCCAGTTCTGGAATTAGCTCGACTGAAGCAAGCGAGGTATTAGGAAGAAGAAGCGCACTCCCCCCCTTGTTGTCTCCTAATTCCTGATGCATCTGCATCTCAGAGGCCCTTCTTAAGCTTTATCTTCTGTATCGATAGAGAAACCAGCAAAATTAGTTTAATCTTTGGGCTTTTTTACATACTGACACAAATTTTATCATCTTACAAAATTAAAGAAACGATCAAATCCTTAAACAATAAATAAGAATTAATAAAATAAAATTCCAATGGTTACTATGTTCGTTTTGCGAAATATTTTTATTATTTTTCTCTAAATGAAGCATTTGCACGTTCGATCTTGTATATTGTGAGTTTTTTTTTTCTTAACTCGTTTTGTTTTCCTGAACAAAAGAAAATACTGTGCACACTTGCCACCGTCACAGAGGCGAGAGGCCTGTTTGAACTACCTGCGAAAGTAAACAGGTAAACAGAGTGCGATAGGCTCTCCAAGTGGAGTGCGTCCACTTAGCCAGTGCACATTTACCTTTTCTTTAGGAAACTCTCGGCTCAATTGATCAAATAGCAGCCTGGTATATCCCCAGAAGCTGAGCATATGCAGCTCACTGCCTTAAACCAACCCCCCCCCCCCCCCCACCCCACCCAGCCTCCTTCCATGTCACAGTCGCGGGATGTCACGGGTGACAACCCTGCGTGCTCAAACATACCCAGATTTGGCTCCACGCACTTTTTAAGGCACTAAGTAAATCTCAGCGAAATAAAGCCCTGCATGGGCCGAGCGAGTTTCCTGATGAGGTGCGCGCATGGAGTCCCCCTGTTGCCTTCCTGGGCCGTTCCTCCGCGATGCGTAAAGCTCCATGTGTGTCTTCTGCTGGCTGTACGTCCATTCACATGTTGGATTTAGCTGTGCAGCATCACCCGGTGGATCAGGTCAGTCACCTCTCTCTCCCCTAGCACACAGAAGCTCAAGCTCAGCTCCAGTTTGTCCATGCAGCCCGTTCATCTCAAAGGAGCCTTTGTTGGATGTTGAGACTTGTGATTAATTCTGTCAGTCTGGTAAAATATTTACCTCAGACCTGTGCTCTATTTGAGCACAGAAAGTGTCTAAATCTCAGGCTATATAATGGGACTTGTATTTTTATCATTATCATAGTTGTCACTGCTATTATTACTGATAGTAATAGAGGTTATAGTAGGCTATAATACCAATGCGCAATTTTTAATAAACAATATTATTAATAAAAATATGAGTAATATTAATAATCGATTGGTGCATCTCTAAGTTTGGTTGATTTTTTTCTGCAGACACAACAGTTGCTGCTTTCGTAAAGAAGATAGAATGTGTGCTTTAAAGCCAAGAAATGTGTGTCTATGTTGAGATGAAGGACTTTTCCTAATATTGTGGAAGGATCCTGGAATTGAATGAAGAGATAGTCCATTGAAAGCAGTTGAATACCATGACAACTACGAACAATCTCAGATTTATTCCAAACAGTTAGAAAGCATTGTCCGCGGGGCGTCAATCATCCATTATTCGGGGCCTGAAATAAATGCAAAAAACTGCGGCCGGACAAAAGCTTCCAACGGGAGCCGGACATTTGTCTACATTTCCCCCATTGTCTGCAGCTTAGCAATCGGTTTGTATTTGTGTTTGCCCGGGCCCGACCACCCAGGATGCGCAGCGGACCTGCTGAAAAACGCCGCAGCGTTGTCACCCACATCACATAGCCCTACTGGATGAGGGAGGCTGAGAGAGGAGAGCGAAAAAAAGGGAAAGTCTTAGAGGGGAGGAAAATAAAGTCAGCAACAATGATACTCGGATTTCACAAGGGGAAAAAAAGAAGAAAGATGGAGCACCTCAAATGAAGCAACACAAACTGAAAGCAAATATTTGCCTGGAGGGAAAGCATTAAGAAAAAATGCAAAGATTTTTTTTTTCACAAACCAGCCATCGCAAGTCATGTTTTTATTATTTATTATTATTGTCTTGAATAGCGTTTTTTAAGTATGCTTTAGTTTCAACACAACCTCTCGCCCTTAAGCCGTGGAAAAAATATTGACACAAAGGTTTACATAAATTATGCACAAATACTTGAACAGCTCAATTTACTTTTATTTTTTGTCATTGTTGTTAATTTTATATAAAGACTCAGTGGAGTCACCCACCCACCTCAACCAAAGATGATGCATAGGTGAAAAAATACATATTTATATTTTATTTTTTTTATTATTATCTAAGTCACGAGCAAAAGCTTCTTTAGGATCAATTTATCAGAACTGGGCTTTTTAAGTATTGTGAGTATAAAGCTACTTGGACACTTGGAGGTTCTTTGTATGTAAATAGGGTGTAAAAAAAAAAAGGCCCTCCCCGTCTTTGTAATTAATTGACACGTTATACCACTCATCATGCTCTGAAGCACCAATGGTAGAGGCTCGGATCTCCCCAAAACCCACAATTTCACATCTGCAAACACTGTCTTCATCCACTTGACTCTTAAGACCCGCCCACACGTGGCCAACCTTTCGCGTTTTTTAATGCTTTTTCACTGCAGGTTCATGTGTTGAGACCAACCTTATATGGACTGATCGGGACAAGGTAATGGCTTATTTCCCTCTAGCACCCAGCAGTAGCACAGTATCCATGAGCTGCATATAGCACTTGAGCCACTTTGGCATCCTTCCTGGACTTACAGAGACCGAATCCACTGCTTCTTGCTTTGCTCATAGGCGATGGTTATCCACAGAGGCTGTTTTGACTGTACTTCAGCGTAGAGCGACACTTACTCATCCTAATTTTTCCCCTCTGCTTTTTTTTCTTCTTCTCTCTTTGTTAGTTTTTTCTCTTCTCACAACAGCGGATTGTTCCGAAAAAAAGCTGCTGCAAGCAACTTTTCCTTGCATATTTCCCCCCCTACCAGAATATGTCGTTGACCAACACAAAGACGGGCTTTTCTGTAAAGGACATTTTGGACCTTCCTGACACTAATGACGAGGACGGATCTATCACCGGAGCGGAGGAAGACACAGAAGGATCGGAGACCGCATCGACAACGAAAAACGCTGGAGTTTTGGTGCAAAGTCCTCTAGAAAACGTCCAGAATCTGCATTTAAAGAACCCCTTTTATGACAGTACCGACAATCCCTACACACGATGGCTCGCAACTACGGACAGCATTCAGTATTCATGTAAGTAGAGTCGTATATTCCATGACTTATATGCTATTTTGATCTGTTACAAGCAAATTGATAATTGATTACATTCATGCTCATATAGCGCATTAATTATGCCCTGGGGTGGCGTGCACAGCTCTTCCTTTGGCACAGTGCGCATGCAGTGTTAAGTCTTAAAGCACTTTGCTTTTGTCACAACAGGCGAAATAATAAAAAAAGAGAGTTTGAATTTAAATTTCTCTGTAGTTTTATTGTCAGCTTCAGTTTTTGGAGTTAAACCAGAGGTTGGTGATGTGAAGGGTGTAAGAAGACAATGCAGCTTTTCTGCTTCACGGGTTCTTTCTGTTTTCTGAGAAGTCTGACTTTTTTTCCCTATTTAGAGCAATGATTTGCAATCATTTTAATCTAAAGAGTTGCATTGTGTCGAATTATTGGCCAGTTTATGTCTTTATGGGGATCCTACATCTCAGTATGCGCCTCAGGCATTTTGCGCACCAGTAGATTTGATGTAAAATGCATCCTTTATCTTTAATCTTTACTAAATGACATGTCTCTGTAAGAAATCTCTCTTAAAACTTCCCGATATAACATTTTGACAGTGTTTCTCCCGTTTCTTGTCGCAGTGCACGGTCTGTCCGCCAGCTCGCAGGACTCGGCCAAGTCCCCGGAGCCGTCCGCGGATGACGAATCCCCAGACAACGACAAGGAGACCTCCAGCAGCGGTGGCAGCGACTCGGGCAAGAAGCGGAAAAGGAGGGTGCTGTTCTCCAAAGCGCAAACATATGAGCTGGAGCGTCGTTTCAGACAGCAGAGGTACCTATCTGCCCCAGAGAGGGAGCACTTGGCTAGCCTCATCCGCCTCACCCCAACCCAAGTGAAGATCTGGTTCCAGAACCACCGGTATAAGATGAAGAGAGCCCGGGCCGAGAAAGGTATGGAAGTGACCCATCTCCCCTCTCCTCGGCGGGTGGCCGTGCCCGTCTTAGTCAGGGATGGGAAGCCTTGTCACACTCTTAAAGCTCAGGACTTGGCGGCCACTTTTCAGGCCGGGATCCCTTTCTCGGCGTATAGCGCGCAGTCGCTCCAACACATGCAGTATAACGCGCAGTACGGCGCCGCGGCCACGCCGCAGTTCCCCACAGCACATCACTTGGTGCAAACGCAACAGTGGACTTGGTGAGAAAACATATAGAGACTTGGTTTGGAGGGTGGGCTGTAGAGAGTTTCACCGCAAAGAAAGGAAAAAAAAAAACATCAAATAAAAAAAAGACTTCATTTTTGCAGCTTGACTCATATATATACTACCATTTTTATTCGGGGCTCATGTGTGCGCCGTGTTTACATGTTTTCGTTAAGAGAACTGGGTCCAAACCTCTCCCTTATAGATTTTATTAAGAAATTTCAATGCTCTTCTTGTGACATATTTTTTTTTGTAAAGTATGTTGTGTGTTGGTTGTAGAGATGTTTTACTTTTTATTTCTTTTTCTTTTTTTTTCTTTTGTCTCTTCGTGTTATTATCAGCACGTGCGAACCACTTTATAATTATAGAAACAAAATTTTATTTCTTGCTTCTTTTATGGACCGAAAAAATATTTATGGCCATGAATAAAAACTGGCAAGTTTTCACCTTTTTTGTTTTTCTTTCTTGTAAATATTTGAGACCAAATGGTGCATTTAGATGCAGTCTGAGATTTGTTTCCAAATGTATTTTTCCTATTAAAAAAAACAACAAAATTCTATGGGGCAGACAAAATAATAAACGCAGACGAATTGCTTAAAATATCTTAACAATCGTTGAGAAATAACTTCATTTTAAGATCATATATTTTAAATGAAATATGACTAAAAAGAAGCATTGGTTTGACAAGTGTCCTATCGGTTTCGTTTTAAAGGGGCGAAGTGAGCCAAACACTGGATTGTGGCGCAGAATGGGAATAAATGTCTAGCGCACTTCAACTCTGTTTTCCTTTTAGTCAAATTTAATCCAGGGAATATTTTTCTCTGTCCGAACAACTCGTCGATAAAGAGCCTAAAGTCACTTGTGAAATGGGACTAAAATCCACTCACTTAATATAAGTGGGCTTCTCAACACAAGAAGCTTTTGACTCAAAAGCTCTCCTTTTTGTCAGCACCCCCGGCCTTGGTTGTAGAGTGGCATACAGCGGATGGAAAGCAATTATTTAATGCAATAAATGTTTGGTTATCTTATTAAGCGCTAAATTGCAAATAAAGGAAGCGCAATCAATGCGCTTCCTTTGTTTAACAGCTGGAATCCCGCAGTTGAGTCTTCTGCTAAAGTTTTACCATCAATATTTTTACGCATAAGATTCCAAACCGGATATTAGAACACATTGTATTCTATTAGATTTTTTTTATTTATTTGCCGCAGTAAAAGCCAATGGGTTACTGCGCAGCACACTGCGGATTATCTGACTCTGCTCAGTCTCTTGGGTAAATATGATAACCCCCCCAGTAGAAAAATCCATGCTTTTTTTTGTTTGTCCCGGGACAAAATTCTACCCAGCAGATGTTAGGCTCGCCCCTATCATCACCAAACAAACAGCTAAATTAGTCCAGATTTGCTAATTATTTACAGAATCTATAGTCTCGGGGGGGTGGGGGGTGAGGGCTTCTGCTTTGTGAGAAAAGCGGGGGTGGGGGGCAAATTCAAAAGGCTTTTCTGTTTCAACACCGGTTGAGCTTGTAGGTCAAATAAATCAGCAACTTTATTGTTTATTTATTATTGTTATTATTAAAATAAATAAAAATAAAACGCCCTTCCAAAAAAAAAAAAATGAATGCAAACACAAAATAAATATAAACAGAATATATTGTAAGATTTACATCTCAACGGTGTGAATTTATTAAAAATAGGAAGCCCCGCATAAGAAAAATAAAATATTTCAAGGAAATCTTACATAAGATAATATTAGATGGATGGAATTTCAATTTAAATTTTAATAATAATAATAATAATAAAAAGTGATGGGTAATGCTTAAGATTTCTGTCTCTTCCTCCTTGAATTCTGTCGGCCTGAATCCAGCTCTAGACAATACTGTACACAAGGCAGTAAAAAGACAAAAGCGCACACAGGCCCTGGTTTTGCTGCATGTTAGAGGCGTGCATATTAACTAGCAGCACGAGTTGAGACGCAGACAGCGCAGATAGACAGAGTTCCTCGGTGCTGTTCAGAGTCAGGGAGATGAATCCTTTGGGCTTTTTGTCCCCCCGCCTATCACTTGGTGCCATTGTGATCTTTGCTGCACACGTTGCGTCCCATATGGGCAGCTGGGTTCGGAAGAGGAGAAAAGGATCTCTCTCACAAGCCCCTAAATTGTATCAAGCTCTCAAGTAAAGCACTGTTGTCTCTCTCTCTCTCAAAGAAAAACGAATTCAAAATCCGTGCTATATCTATTCTGGTCGGGGAGGCAAAACAGAGAAGCCCCATTCACGCGTAACAGGGAGTCCTTCTTCCTTGATAGAGCTATGCCAACAACAGCCTTCTCATTTCTCTTTGCCTTCAATCCCAGTTTTTTCCCCGAAGTTAAAGGCTGATTATTATACAGCAAAAAAAAAAAAAAAAAAAAAGAAGCAAAAAAATAATTAATTCTGCAGTCTTTTTTTTTTTTTTTTTGCACACCCCCGCTAAGGCCTGGTCGTAAGATGGCAATATGGAAAACTATTTGACACTTCCATTTGAAAAGATGCAAAACCTTTTTTTTTCTAAAAATAACCGAAATTAATAGGGGAAGTTATATTGATCTCACCTGCATTCAGAAGGTTTGATTTGTTTTCTATGCGGGGGATATTTACGCACAATTAGGAGCGTTTATTTCCTTTTTTTATTTATTGCTGGTACTATTATCTTTGCGATGTAGATTTTTTTTTCCTTGGAAAAATATCTAGAAAGAAATACTAGTTTTTCGGTGGCTGGTGCGCACATCTATTGGAAATTCTGCAAAATTTACATAAAAAATGTGCATTGTATGATTATGTCGTTCCTATATTGTAGGAAAAATATATCTATATATGTAGCGGCATTAAAAAAAATACATACATTATAGAAAAGCTGTCCATTAGCCTACAAGATCAAACAGAAACGTTAAATTCAAACTTTTTCACCTTTGTCCTGCTATTAAGTCTGCAGAAAATAACCGAATTCCTTCAACTGCTTTGCTACAGGGTCAGATTTATAGGAAATTGCTTTTGGCTGCTTGAGGGGATAAAGCAGTACGACTTTAAAACAAGCATCTCAAAGCTCAACCTGCGTGGATAACTCTATTATACACCTTGCAATGCAATACTCGAGGAAATGTGCACTCGGGACACTGGTGGATCTTCGTCATCCTGCACGTTTGAACCTCCACATGAATCATTTCTCTATCGTGCACATCGCCACGTAAACGAGGATTTCAAAGCTATAATAAGCGGTGCTTTTTTTCATTTAAAGGAAGCGATCTGGCTATTATTGCCTTTAGAGAAGATCCAGATTAGATATAGTTAAGCAGTGCAGATATTAAGAAAGAGGGAGAGGAGACTGTTGCGATGCACCACCACAAGATGGCAGCAGAGGTCCGCGATTGGCGTCCTGCAGCTTTTACCTGTAAACGTCCTCTTATTCCATCACTGCAAATTACTGCAACTAAATTCCAACTGTTGAAATTAGTGTGCACCCCCCTCCCTCCCTCTCTTGCTTTAATGAACACACATAGCAGCAAACTTGACTGTCGTTTTAAGTGCATGATTGCGGTTTATGACATTGTTATGGATCTTGAGAGCATAATCATATCGCTCTTCAAAACAAAACCAGACAGGACGTAAACAGTCCACAGGCAATTAGTGCAGTTTGCAGCGCAGGTTTTTAAAATGTTAGATGGAGGGAGAAGCGGAGGAGAGGAGCTCCAGGGTTCTCCACGGTGTGGCGCAATAGGATAGGCAGACATAAATGGAAGGGATCATCACAGTTCAACGACAGCGAACAAAAGAGATTAAGTAAGGTTCTTAAAAACAACACCTCTGCTTTTAATGAACAAAGTCAGGATTCTTACAAGATTAAACACAAAATCTGCAATTTCAATCAATATTTAACTAAAAAAAACATGTTTTTTTAATCCTCTGAGAAGTTTCAATTATTTCTGTTGTAAGTTTGTCTAATTTGCGTCTCTGCGTCTTCATTGAGTGATGCAGATCCGCTTTTTAAGAATGCAAAATGTGTCAAATTTCGCAAATTCGCTGTTCAGCATCGCTAGGCTTAAACCTGCAGGGGGCCTCATTGAGTCACAACGATTTGACAGCAGGTGCAATAGTGAGACGCTCACCATGAGTGGAAGGTTAAGAGCAGAGGAAATGCATTCTCCTGTCTCTGAGAGTGTGTAATCCCTGCTCTAAATTCAGAATAAAACCAACCTTTAATACTAGATTGTTGACAATGACAAGAGTTACTGTGCGTAATAACACACTGGCTATGTCTAAGGGTGTTCAAGATTGTTTTTTTAATGGGTTAGCCTAAAACCAAAGCAAACAACTGAGTTCCATGGGTTATATTGTGCTGCAGGCTTATAATCAAGTTTGCATTCAAGGGAAGGGGATGAGTGAACGATATCAATTTGAAATATGGTGTAAAATCTCCATCAGGCGATTTGATTTATTGGATATTTTGTATCAAATGCAGCTTTTTGAAAATGTTTGTCACAACTACTAGCCTGATCTACAACCCCAAGGTTGTCAGGAGGAAATAAAGCTAAAAACATTACTAAGTTGCTTTTTGTGTTTAAAAGGAAAAACGGGGGCTCAGAAAATGTGGAGAATTATTTAAAAAACCTATCGGCTGATTTTAGTCAAACTAACACTCTAATGTAATTTATGTTCATAAAACACATCAAAGTATTCAAGGCATCAAAACCTGCTCTGGTCCAGAAAACAATGTACCAATAAATGCTGGGATGTCTAGTTAAGATAATTAAATACATTTTGTCTGTAAGGTTGTTTGACTGGAAGTAATCAGAGGAATAGCCAGATAGTTTATAGGGGTGATCCATTCACTTATGCTGTTCATAGAACCACTCATTACCACCAACAGAATCTTAGACTGAAGAAAAAGCCTAAGAATATAACCTTTTTTATTCAATGAGTTATGAAAATAAATAAGCTTGATTTTTTTTCTAATTTTCCACAAAGAAAAGCTGAGCCAAAATAGATACAGATTCAGGGAGAGAAAAATAAAAATAAAAACAGAGTTTAAACACATTTAATGGAAATAAAAAGCAAAGTGCAGCCTTTGCATTGGTGACATAGCGAAAGTATGTGTGTTCAAGCAGGAAGCTGCAGCGACAACATTAATAAGTGCTTCACTCCATCTTCCATCCACACCAGCAGGACCCTGTAGGTTGTGAGCTGACCAAAGCATCAAGATTTTTGCTTTAAACAAAAGGAAGAAAGAAGAGGAAAATAAATCCTTGCAGCATCTTTTGTCACATTTTTTCCATGCATATCATTGGCACAGAATGGAGCTGCTTTTGTCTCCATTTTCTTGAACAGTGCGAGATGTAAAAACGGAATTTTTCCACAAGGCATTTTGGTGAAGACAGTTGTGTGTACAGCATAAGCTTGTTTAATAATAGATGAT